TGGGATTAGATGACCTCTAAGGTCCCTTTTTACAGTACAGGTAAAGTTAGGAAGCCGGCTGCTAAATGAAATCTGGCTTCCCCATTGACTTGGCTCGCCAGAAGGTCGCAAAAGGGGATCACGTGATCCCAGGATGCCGTGACCGTCATAAATACGAGTCAGTTGCCGAGCATCTGGATTTTGATCACGTGAGGGGAGGCTCCTACGGTTGCGAGTGTGAAAACTGGTCTTAAGTCACTTTTTCCAGTGCCGTTGTAACTTTGAACAGACACGAAACGAACTATTGTAAGTCAAAGACAATCTGTGTTTACATCCTATAATTAAGGGCGTGTCTATGCTTAGAAAAAAGGATTAATGTGACGCTGTCTTCTCTCAAACATGAAGGTCTGATTGCCTTCAGAAGTTGTGGGTGCTTCATCACTGGAGGTTTTAAAAGAAGAGACTGGACAGCCACTTGTCTGGAATGGTCTAGGGTCTCCTGCTTGAGCAGGAGGCTGGACTAGAGAACCTCCAAGATCCCTTCCAGCTCTACTCTAATTGTTTGTTTGTTTGATTGACTGATTGCACTAGACCAGGGGTAGACAACCTTGGCCCCTTCATGACTCGTGGACTTCAACTCCCAGAATTCCTGAACCAGCATGGGGAAAACTATAGCCCCCTCATGACTCATGGACTTCAACTCCCAGAATTCTTGAGCCAGCATGAGGGAACTATGGCCCCCTCATGACTCGTGGACTTCAACTCCAGAATTCCTGAGCCAGCATGGCTCAGTCTGGAAACCTCTCCCTTTCCCCTCAGCATGGCTGGCTCAGGAATTCTGGAAGTTGAAGTCCACGAGTCATCAAAGAGCCAAGGTTGCCTACCCTTGCTCTAGACGAGGGGTTGGCAACCTTGGCTCTTTTATGACTCGTGGACTTCAACTCCCAGAATTCCTGAGCCAGCATGGCTCAGCCTGGAAACCGCTCCCTTTCCCCTCAGCGTGGCTGGCTCAGGAATTCTGGGAGTTGAAGTCCACGAGTCATCAAAGAGCCAAGGTTGCCTACCCCTGCACTAGACCCGTGCTTCTCAGTCTCGGCTGCTTGAAGATACGCGGACTTCAACTCCCAGAATTCCCCAGCCAGTCCCAATCCAAGAACTGAAATCCCTACATCATCAAGTGCCCAAGACTGAGAAACACTGCACTAGACTAAGCCAAGGTAAGTAACAAGCTGTGTGTCTTCTGCCATTTGGGTGGAGAGCCCATTTTTCTATTGGACTGAATTGGAGCTACTTTTAAGTGCCTTCAAGTTGGCTCCTGACGATGGCCTGGAGAAGACCCCACAGTTTTCCCGGCAAGGTGTTTTGGACGTCGTTTGCCATGCCTGCTTCCCAGGTCGGAGAGAAGGGACTGGCCCAAGGTCAGTTGGGAACAGAAGATAAGGTCACCCAGTTGTTAGCCTGATGGCTTATCCACCACAATAAACTGGTTCTCCAGACTGCCTGGACAAGTTTCTGTAGACTTCTTGGCAAGATTTCAGAAATGGTTTGTCACTGCTTGTTTCTTCCTAGGACTGAGAGAGAGGAACTTGGCCCAAGGTCAGCAAGTTTGCTTTGTGCCTAAAGCAGGACTAAAAACTTCAGGTGCTCCTGACTTCTAGTCCAGTGACTTTAATCACAACATCAAGCTGGATTCTTGTTTTGGTGCCTTCAAGACCATTTTGGAACCATGTGATTAAATGGAGAAGTTAACAGTTCTCCTGGCAACAATTTTGGAAGCAGTTTGCTCTAGTCTTCTTCCTAGGGCTGAGAAAGAGGGACTGGCCCAAGGTCACCTTGCTGGTTTTGTGTCTAAAGTGGAACTCAAATTCCAGGCCTCCCCATCTCTGAATTATGGCCACTTTTAAAGATGGGCCTTCCCCAGCTTGGTACCCTCAGCCTTCTAGCTTCTATAATTCTCAGAGAATAACAGTGTTGAAAGGGACCTTGGTGGTCTTCTAGTCCAACCCCCTGCTCAAGCAGGAGACCTTAGACCATTCCAGACAAATGCTGTCCAATCTCTTCTTAAAAACCTCCAGTGATGGAGCACAACTTCTGGAGGCAAGTTGTACCACTGATTAATTGTTCTCACTGTCAGGAAGTTTCTCCTTAGTTCCAGGTTGCTTCTCTCTTTGGTTAGTTTCCATCTGTTGCTTCTTGTCCTGCCTTCAGGCGCTTTGGAGAATACACCCTCTTCTTTGTGGCAGCCCCTAAAATGTTAGAATCCTGCTATCATGTTACCCCTAATCCATCTTTTCATTAAGTTAGACATACCCAATTCCTGCGCCCGTTCTTTGTACGTTTTCGCCTTTAATCCCCTTATCAGAATAAGGCACATAAGTATGACTTTCAGCAAAGGTCATCATCCCAACCCTTCTGGCCTTGGAATGCATTAAGTCCGGGAAGGCTGGTCAAAATTTTGAAATCCCTCCAACTTGCAGCCAGGCAGTGAAAATATTTAGCAAGCTAAGTGCCATTCGGTTCTCTTTCCTGTTGTTGCTTTTTTTGGTTTTGTTTTTGCTCTTTCTCTCTCCTGGGCTCTGTGTGTGTGCAGGATAAGATGGATTAGCACCGCCGAGCAAGCTGTGTTAAAATAATAGGTCTTCCCTTACTCGGCAGCTTCCTTCCGCCATCCTCGCGGTTGCCATCACGCCATGCCCAATGATTCCCCGGCACTTTGTACGCTGCGTTCAGCATCCAAATGCCTAGCCGGGACTTAAAGCAGATTTTTAAATTAGTTCCTGACAGTGCAAACAGATTGCTATTGATTGAAATGAGCCTTATTTTACTTCTCTAGATGAGCAGCCCTAATGACTAAATACTGTATTGCCCATTTCGGCACTTGGTGCCGGGACTCCCCAGCGGTTTCTTTGGCAGCTGTGAGTTTTCCACCCTGGCAGATTACTAGGGGAAGATGGAAGCGGGCCATCTGGGGCTCCCCAGTCCATGGCAGAGCTGAAGGCAGAACAAGGCAAGGGAGGCAGGAGGAGGAGCCACGTCTGTAGTGTTGCCAAGAAAACAACAAGGTGGAGAGTGTGGAAATGGACACGGAGTGGAGTCACGAGGGAGCCAGTTTGACCTGAAGACGCTTCAATCTTATAAGCTAGCTCCTTCCTTCCTTCCTTCCTTCCTTCCTTCCTTCCTTCCTTCCTTCCTTCCTTCCTTCCTTCCTTCCTTCCTTCCTTCCTTCCTCCTTCCTTCCTTCCTTCCTTCCTTCCTTCCTTCCTTCCTTCCTTCCTTCCTTCCTTCCTTTTTTCTTTCTTCCCTAAGACGATATTTAAGTTCACGGGCTTCTGTGCCAAGCTTTATTATTATTATTATTATTATTATTATTATTATTATTATTATTATTATTATTATTATTATTATTATTATGGATCATCGCACAGTCAGCCAGATGTTCAGACTGGATTTGGCATTTTGTCTACCTATCGAGTCCTTACCCAGGACCTGGGATAGGCAGATGTGTTTGATGTTATTACAGATATTGTCTCAGGATGGAAGCAGTTCCTAGTAAGGCCGCCTTTTGCAATTGACTAATGGCGAATTTGTCAATGCCAATGGGGTTCAAGTGGTGCTCCAGATGTTTTGGGATTGCACCCAAGGAGCCTATGACTATTGCTTGCTTTTGCCACAGTCTTTCTATTTCTATTTGTAGGTCTTTGTATTTTGTTATCTTCTCCAGTTCTTTCTCATCTATTCTGCTGTCTCCAGGCACTGCCACATCCACTATCTTCTATTATTATTATTATTATTATTATTATTATTATTATTATTATTATTATTATTATTATTATCACACAGTCAGCCAGATGTTCAGACTGGATTTGGCATTTTTGTCTACCTATCGAGCCCTTCTCAAGGACCTGGGATAGGCAGATGTGGATGTTTGATGATATTACAGATATTGTTGTTGTTGTTGTTGTTGTTGTTACTATTACATCATACCTTGTATGCAGCCTGCAAGAGTTTTGAGTTTCATAAATAACAATTGTATCAAGGCTGGCACAAGCGAATATTATTGGGAGAAGAGACAATCAAGCAAAGCTACGATGTGGATTATAGAATTACAGAAACTGATTGTTATTGGCTGTTTTTTAAATATAAACCCAGACAATACACTATTTACCAAATATTAAGATGATTATGTTAAAAATCAATAAAATATATTTTTTAAAAAAGATTCTCAGTTTACATGTCCTACTTCGGAAGCAATTTGGCACACAAGGATCTTCAGTAAAATATGTTTCTAATGCCCGGATGTGTTTCCAATCTTCTACCCTATCATCCATCATCCTAAAGACCTGTTGTTGCCACGGAACGAAAGAATAGCATCTTGGGGGATTCCAAATTTGGGTGTTTCGAAGCCAACTACACTCGCCACAAGCTTCAGCCAGGGAAGATCCACCATCCATGATCCACAATCCAAGAAGTTTCCACTAGAGTCCAACACGTTCAACCAGCAGTTGGCATCCCCGTGGTTTCATTTCTCTGGCCATATTTCACACAAGCAAACCTTTTTATTAACCATCTCCCTCCACACATAAATGTATCCTCAACAGCATCTCTTGCATATAGGTAGTCCTCGACTTAACGACTGTAATTGAGCATGGAATTACGGTTGTAAGTCTTGCTGGTCATTCAGCGGATCGTCAGTTCTGAGCTGGCTGCCTAAGTGCCCCAAATGAGGTCACATGACATGGGAGAAGCAGACATCAGAACTTCGAATCCAGGTCATAAATAAATACCTTTTTTGGGGGGGTGTCTATCATAACTTCAAAAGGTTGCTAGGCAACTGGTTGAAAGTCAAAGACTACCTGTATATAATATCTGTGTGGACTTCAAGTCCCAGAATTCCCCAGCCACAGCATGTCTGGGAGTTGAAGTCCATATATCAAAGTTAGATTAGTTGAGATCGAATCGAATCGAAGCCAAACAAATCTTCCCAAAGGACACCTCCATAGAACTCAATCTTCCCATCCTACCTGTTTCTGGACCTTCAGCGGGATTTTCTTTTTCACTCTCTCTTTCCCTCGATCCGTTTCTCTCCCCGAACTGCCGGCATCGTTACTGTGCCCGTTTTCGCTCGGTTCGGCTGAGACGCAATGTTCGCTTTCCCGAAGTTTCTTCCCTGGGTGTCTCTCCCATTTTTCTTTTCTCTCCTGAGGCTTCAGTGACATGTCCTTCTGTAGAAGAAGCAAGATCAGAAAAGGGATTTAAAAAAATATCTATCTATCTATCTATCTATCTATCTATCTATCTATCTATCTATCTATCTATCTATTTATCCATTCACCCAAGAGCCATAAACATTAAGGAATTCCGTGCAAGCGAGGAAGTGAGCGGGCTGGCAAAGATTTAACAGAATAACAGAGTTGGAAGGGACCTTGGAGATCTTTTAGTCCAACCCCCTGCTCAGGCAGGAAACCCTAGACCAGGGGTAGGCCACCTTGGCTCTTTTAGGACTCGTGGACTTCAACTCCCAGAATTCCTGAGCCTTTTCTGCTTTGGGATCTTCAGATGGAAGTTGGAGAACTTTCTGTCTGAAACGTTTCAGCTCTAGACTGCTTGTTTCTAGAAAGCAAAGGAATTAGATGGGCAATAGAGACCTTTCCTATCATTCTGTTGCCTTGGTACTATACAACGGTGTCATTCAAAGAGGAATTTTCCCCTCCCTACACCGCACAACTGAGGTTGGACAAATAGGAAGGGGTATAAAATAGAAGCAAATCATCAGACACAAGCAAACAGAGCCACTTGTAAATCGCTAAAATAAGCAACTTTATTGCTTTCCACCTATACTACAAGAATCTGCCCAGATGCTTGACTTCCCATGGGAATAATCAGATAAGGCTTCATGGATCATGGGGGGAAGTCAAGTGTATGCAGCTTACAGCTATGCAAGGACTCTAAGATAGGCCCTCGCTTGACACCTTCCCCCTTCCAGCCTAGCTGGCAGTTTCCCAACACAAATACCATTTGCTTCTTTTTCTTCCACCCTAATTTAGCTCCTGGAGAAATATATGTTCTTCTACGCACAGTTTGGCTCACATGCTGAGAGGTAGTCAATCAGGAGGAGAAAAGTATATGGATGGGGATTACAGTATTATGGAAATGGCCCTTCTATTTAGGATTCCACATTGGTGTACAACCTCACACAAAATGCCAGATTAGATTGGTATGTATATATTATGATCTCTTAGCAATTCTTTTGTCAATCTAACCCCCTTTTGACTATTTTTTTTTTTTTATCTCAGAGAGTTTTTCATACGCTGACTAGCAGTATTTCCTCTTTGGAAGTGATCAGAAGTGACTGTGAGATGCTTGGCACGATCTGTAATCTTTTTTTCACCACCATACAGTACTCTCACTGCACTTCAGACCTACATCTCTTTGCATTTTAACACAGTAGTAGTTTGTCTGCCATTCTAAATTTAGTCTGTTTGTTTGCTTGTTTTCTTCCGTTCAGCGAGGGCTGATTCTTCAGAAACTGCCTGGACAAATCTCTGCCATTTTCTTTGGCTATTCCCCTCCGAAACTCACACACACACAACACTCAGACCAAAATCATAACGCAGATACAACACCGGTTTTCTTATCTATAAAACAGGAGAAATGCTTTTGAGCCGTAACAGCCCCCCCCCCCCCTTGAGAGAAGATAACAACAGCAGGAAAGTATAAAACGCTCCAGGCATTTTTAAAAAAAAAATAAAATAAAATCGGTGCATTATACGTTCAGTGACGCCTTTTCAACTTGGTCGCAAGAGTGATATCTCTATTCAGCCTCTGCACACACTGGAGGAGGCAAAGTGAAAGCCAGCTGTCTTGGCTCTGCCCGAATTGGCCTGCGCAAAGCAAAATCCAGAGCTGAATAAATGCCCCCTTGGCTGCACTACCCTGTGTTTCTCTCCCATTCTTCCCCTAATTTTAAGTAGCAGATTATTGTGTGTGGAGAAAGCTGCGCTGGATCAACACCAGAGGACTGGTTAATTTCCTTTGTGCAGCAAAGCTCTATTTCCTCTGTGTAAATCAGTGACATTTGATTTTCTTGCAAGCTGCTAATTTGCGCCAAAGCCAATATAAAACATCTGTCCTCACAGTGACATGATTGCCTTAAAGAAAAAGAAAAAAAAAAGAAAGAAAAAGGCAGCCCCATCTGATCAAAATGTGGAAACTCCCATTGGAGCGAAAAAGGGTAAGGCCATACGCTTGGGAGCAATGGGGTTTGATGAGCGTTGAAACTACCTTACGAAGTAGCCCGGTGCAGTGGCTAGTGCAGGGGTAGGCAACCTTGGCTCTTTGATGACTCGTGGACTTCAACTCCCAGAATTCCTGAGCCAGCATGGCTCAGCTTGGAAACCTCTCCCTTTCCCCTCAGCATGGCTGGCTCAGGAATTCTGGGAGTTGAAGTCCATGAGTCATGAAGGGGCCATAGTTCCCCCATGCTGGCTCAGGAATTCTGGGAGTTGAAGTCCATGAGTCATGAGGAGGCCATAGTTCCCCCATGCTGGCTCAGGAATTCTGGGAGTTGAAGTCCATGAGTCATGAAGGGGCCATAGTTCCCCCATGCTGGCTCAGGAATTCTGGGAGTTGAAGTCCATGAGTCATGAGGAGGCCATAGTTCCCCCATGCTGGCTCAGGAATTCTGGGAGTTGAAGTCCACGAGTTATAAAAGAGTCATGGTTGCCTACCGCTGGTATAGAGCAGGGGTAGGCAACCATGACTCTTTTATAACTCGTGGACTTCAACTCCCAGAATTCCTGAGCCAGCATGGGGGAACTATGGCCTCCTCATGACTCATGGACTTCAACTCCCAGAATTCCTGAGCCAGCATGGGGGAACTATGGCCGTTCCCTCACTGTTTCCAGGACGGCTTCGTGGGCCACATGAAACCACTTCGCGGGCCGCATCTGGCCCCCGGGCCTTGTGTTTGACATGTCTGGTCTAGGCGGTTTACAAGTTAAAAAAAACCCCATAACATCCATAGAAAAACAAAGTTAAAAGGTTGGAGAGAGGGCCCCGAAGCCACCAACTTTCAGAGTGTAAACGAGGACATAGGTATGTGCGCACGTGCTCGCTGGCGGTTTCCACGGCCCAGTTGCAAACCACTCCTGGCCCACTAGTGGGCCATGGCCCACAGGCTGGGGACCCCTGGATCAGAAGACACTTTTAAGAACCCTGGACAGCAGCCAAGAGAGAGCGATACAAATTCGTTATTTGGACTGCATGAATGATGCACTGGTTTGCTGTTTCCTCATTCCCAGAAACGATGGCGGCTATCTGAAGGCACATCTGGAAATGCACCAACACAGCTTTCTGCAATAGCCTATCTGGTTTGGCTCCAAAATGAACAGCTTCTAGATTGAAGGTCACACACACACCCCACTTTGACTTCAGGACACAATCCTGGCTCCCCCATGGAGCCGAGATGCCATTCATACCCAAAACAGCAAAATCCTGGCTTTGACCCTCCCCCAATCGAAGCTCTGCGATCTCAATTACGGTGACTGCAAGGCAAATCTTTGCTTTTCCTAACCTCAGCCTTACAATTCCTCTCTAAGCTGGCCACATGTTTCCTTTCTTGGTTTTGTGTGTGTGTGTATGTGTTTTTAACTTTTAAACTTCAACATTTCCCATAACACAGGCTGATAAAATCCAGAGGCAGTTGGGCTGTGTTCTCTTTAGAAGCCCTGTCAAAGTTGTAGCGTTAAGTGACGGATGCTTCTTGTTCTGATAAACCAGAGAAAGTTCAGCACTGCAGTTTGGGGGGGGAGGGAGGGAGGGAAGGAGAAGGAAGGTCCAATGCAAAATGAGAACATTCTCATAAGCCAAATGATTCATCACCAAAAAAAAAAACAAAACCCAAGGGGTTTTTTTTGTTCATCTGGGACATCTCAATTTGCAAGAGGCTGCAATATTTGTAAAAAAAAAAAAAAAAAAGGCCCGTTGATTTGGATGCTAAAAAAAAAAAAGGTTATTGCTGTATGCCACCCAGAGTCGTTGGACATTAGATGAGGAGTAAATAAATTTCATAATAAATAAATAACTCGTCGCTGCTGTTGTCGTTAACTCTCCCCCAGTTTTGAAGCTGAAAGTCCTTATAATGGACGTGCTGATCTGATCTAACAGCTACAGCTGCACAAGCCTGTTTCAAAGCTCAGATCCTTGAACGCAGATCAAAAATATACAGTAAAAAATAAAATAAAAAATTACCTGACTTGTAGCCAACAGAGAGGAAAGGAAAGAAATCCATACAGCTGAATGCCTAAATTTGTGACAATTGTTTATTTTTACTGCAACAACACGCAACAATTGATGGGGTGCCTGTGTTTGGCTCTTTGGAAACAATTTTTAGTCTGCATCGCTGATATAAGACGATATTTAAGTTCACGGGCTTCTGTGCCAAGCTGTATTATTATTATTATGCATCATCGCACAGTCAGCCAGATGTTCAGACTAGATTTGGCATTTTGTCTACCTATCGAGTCCTTACCCAGGACCTGGGATAGGCAGATGTGGATGTTTGATGGTATTTACAGATATCGTCGCAGGATGGAAGCAGTTCCTAGTAAGGCCGCCTTTTGCAATTGACTAATAGCGAATTTGTCAATGCCAGTGGTGTTCAAGTGGTGCTCCAGTTGTTTTGAGATTGCACCCAAGGCGCCTATGACTATTGGTACTACCCTTGCTTGCTTTTGCCACAGTCTTTCTATTTCTATTTGTAGGTCTTTGTATTTTGTTATCTTCTCCAGCTCTTTCTCTTCTATTATGCTGTCTCCAGGCACTGCCACATCCACTATCCAGACTTTTTTGTCTTTCTTATCGACAATTGTTAAGTCTGGGGTGTTATGTTGCAGGTGCTTGTCTGTTTGAATTCTGAAGTCCCAGAGCAGTTTAATTTTACCATTTTCTATGACTTTCTCTGTTTTATGATCCCACCAGTTGTTGTTATTGTTGTTGTTGTTGTTGTTGTTGTTGTTATTATTATTATTATTATTATTATTATTATTATTATTATTTCTGATCTGCATGCAAGGTTCCGAGCTTAGAAACAGACTTGTGTAGTTGTGCAGATACAGGTAGTCCTTCAAGGGACACCTTCCAAATTCTAAAGTTTGGGGGATGAACAGAGCAGGAACAGGCTGCATCCTTCGACACACACACACACACACACACACACAGAGAA